TTATGACTTACTGTTATAGGAAAAAAAACAAAAGTAAAATGAGTCATTCACCTCTATAAAAATAACATAATTTTTATTTCCCTAAAATACTCATCCGTTAATTACCTCCACGATTTCCTCTAGCTACCTGTGGAAGTGATAAATTGTAACAATGTGTTTATACAATATCAAACCTGCTAGGAAATTTGTTGTTCGATTTTCCATCTCAGCTCAGCGAGTGAACCCTATGTCGGTCGGCGTCCCTGTAGCGAACAAAATGGAGAAAATTACAATGATCTTGAAGGAGAAGTAGGCTTAAAGAGGGAGAAGGCGGTTGAGGTTAATACCTCGTAATAGATCGGCGGTAGCATTTAGATCGTAGATCTTTGTACCGCAGACGCCGGATACGGCATTTATTTCAATCACAGCTCACGACGCGAGAGAGCAGTAGTTGCGTGAGGAGAAATTTAGAGGCATTAGGAGAAATGCAGTATCTCGATCACCGGCTCGGGGAGGCAGTTGTGTGTGGAGAAATTATTTTATGGGGAGTCCCGACGTAGCTCTACTTCGGATTTTAAAATGCATGTGTGGCCCTATCACCGAACTTTTATTCTGTCTGGTGAACGTAGGTTCGGCCACCAATATTTTAGCGCCACGTAGCATGAAAAAAAGTAGTCGATCCGACCCGTTGTTTTTTGAGTTCTCGCACGTGCGTTTTTTTAAATTCTTGACGAGCCGAACAACATCCCATCACCTTTTGAATATATTTCAAATACCTAGCAATACCGAGCAAATACAAAGTTGTACCTAGTTTTTTCTAGCAATACCGAGCAAATACCTAGCAATACCGAGCAAATCCCTAGCAATACCGAGCAAATACTGAGTTGTACCGAGTTTTTTCTAGCAAAACAGAGCAAATCCCTAGCAATACCGAGCAAATACTGAGTTGTACCGAGTTGTAAAAAACTCGGTACAACTCGGTATTTGCATGGTATTGGTCTTCACAGAGCGGTATTTCTTATTTTTGCAAAGCAATACCTAGCAAATACCGAGCAAATACGTACCGAGCAATACCGAGAAAATCTCAAACATAACATTCCCGGGTTCCGCTCCGGGTCAAGTCGTCGGGCCGCGCGGTTTAGAGTAAGAGCACGTGGCGACATGTTATTGGCGGCCGAACGTAGCTCTATGTCCGATCAGAGGACGTAATAATTGTTCCCCGACCACCGAGCTGGTCTAAAGGCGAAAAACCTGACGACCCGACCTAGTCCATGCACCGGTCCAAAGGTGAAAAATCCGATATGTAAAAGTTTTAAAATCTATGCAAACCAAAAGTCACGGCATTCAGATTGGGGTGTCAATTTTGGGTCACGGGTCGGATTCGGGTCGACCCGGCACTATTCGGGTCAACCCGAATCCGACCCATTTTTAAAAACGGGTCTGTTTCTTGGATCCGAACTCGACCCGAATGACACGTTTTCAACAAAAAATTGCTAATTTTCGGGTCAAAAACGGGTCAATCTCCTCTTTTCGGGTCAATCTCGGGTTGCCGGGTCAAAATCAGATTTTCGGGTCAAAATCGGGTCACTTTCGGGTCAATTTTGGGTCAAAGGGGTAACCCGAACCCGACCCAATTTTTAAAACGGGTCGAAATGTTGAACCCGAACCCGACCCGTTTCGGGTTCAGGTTGACCCTAACCCGAAATTTTTGAGTCGGGTTTTCGGGTCGTGTCAAATATTGACACCCCTAATTTAGACGTTACATCTTCTGGTATTGAAAAATTTTGTTCCTCTCCGCTCTCAGTTTAGGCAGGTGTTTTTCATCTTGGCACGAGGATTGAGTCTTCTAGCTGAGAAATTAATACGTCCGAACGCAAAAGCTTTCTCAGTCTTTCAGCAAACCAGAAGAGTTTGCATTCTGAGTTTAAATTTTTTACGTCGTCATACTGCTCTTCTTCTTCCAGGCAAGAATTAAGGTCAGATTTATCTCCATAGTAGCTCAACATCACTTGATATGTTGAAATGTTAAACATATGATTGTTCTGTAAATGGTTTATGAGTTGTTAAGGTTTAGAATTTAGAGTTTATGGTATAGGGTTTATGTAAAATTTATGTCAAATATGATTTTTTTTTTTCTTAATAGAAATTGGGTATTGCTCGGTATTGTTATGTATTGACATGATACAAGCTTATGACAACCAAACATTGATGTAGTTGTTCAATTGAAAACTCTTTAAGCTTTTTCACGGTTGCATATTTGAGAACAATTTTGTGGGAAATATTATTTTTTTCTCATAAGCCGCTGTGTATCATTATCTATTGAAGTGTATTTGTATGATACAAGCTTATGGCAATCAGACATTGTTGTATTTGTTCATTTGAAAATATTTTTAAGATTTTTAGAGCTGTGTATTTAAGAAATTTTATGGGAAATGTTATTATTTTTCTGTTAACTCATTGGGTATTGTTGTATATTTACATGACATACAAGCTTATATCAACCAAACATTGTTGTATTTGTCCATTTGAAAATCTGTTTTAAGCTTTTTTCACAACTGTATACTTGAGATTTGAGAAATTTTGTATGAAATATTTCTCTCTCTCTCTCTATCTCTCTCTCTCTCTCTCTCAAGTCAGTGCGTATTGATGTGTATTGTTGTATATTTAGCAGTGTACTAGTATGTATTTTGTTGTGTATTGAGATGTATATTTAGTTGTGCATTGTTGTGTATTATTCTGTATTTAGTTATGTAATTTTATGTATTTAGTTGTGTATTGTTGTGTATTCATGTGTGTACTGTTGTGTATTTTGCTATGTTTTGTTATGTATTGGTCTGTATTGTTGTGTATTCAATTGTGTATTGTTGTGTATTGCTATCTATTTTGTTATATATTTTGTTGTATGCTATTGTGTATTGATGTCTATTTAGTTGCATATTGTTATTTATTATTGTATATTTCCATGATGCAAGTTTATGGCAACCACACATTGTTGTATTTCTTCATTTAAAAACATTTTTAAGCTTTTTCATAGTTGTGATTTTGAGAAATTTTATGAGAAATGCTATTATTTCTCTTTTAAGTCACTTGGTATTGTTGTTTGCTACTGAGTATTTTGCATATGTATATTTCAAAGATAATTTCTCGTTATAATACACGACAATACACAACTGAATACACAGCAAAGTACACAGTAGCACAAAATAATATACAATAATACACGATTTGTATCCAACAATACATAGTAATATACAACAGTACACAACAACAGATAGTTTAGTACACAATAATACAAAATAATATGCAACTTAGTACACAATAATACACATCAATACATAGCTTAATACACAACAATACAGAGCTAAATATACAACAATACACAGCTCAATACACAATAATACACAGTTGTCATCATCTTAATAAACATCAATACATAGCTGAATACACAACAATGCATAGCTCAATACATAACAATGCACAATTCAATACATAGTGTTTATTAATAAAAAATAAACAAATTCACAACATAATTTTCATGTCTACTACTATAAGCTTGTATATAAGATTGTACTCAGTAAATACACAGTAATACATGATTTGTATTAGGAAAAAAATTATTTCTAACATAATTTCACAAATACATATAATTTGAAGAATATACTCTAAATCCTAAAAAAACTATATATTTATATTAAAACCATCCTTACATAACAAAATCATGCTTCTTCGCGGCATTCACCACATAATATTTGAAGAATACACCGTAAATATTAAAAAATTATATTTTCACACGAAACACAATAAAAGTTAGGACGGCTTTAAAATTTATTGATAATAACCCTAATTTCTCTCCATGGTTGGTTGCAATAACTCTTCCTATACATTTTGCATATCACTTTTCATCTCCTAGGAGAATGCAACGTCCTCCAAACCATTTTTCATCTTCTTCGCCTATTTCTCATCTTTCTTTCTCAACAGGTAAAAGGTGATATTTTGCCCACCAAAACCTTAAATACTTGGGTGCTTTCGCGAGTTTCTTTTAAAGAAAAGGTAAAAAGAGTGACTCAACCGGGCCAGGTCATTGGGTCGTAAGAAAAATAATATAAATATTAAATATTCATGTGTCAGCATTTTATTGTAGTCCAAACATAGAGCTATGTCCGGACTTTGCACAAAATAATTTCTCTGTGTGAGGAGAGATGCAGTTAGGGCTTGATTGCATGGGGAAATGGAGATGGGGCCAGTAAATTAAGGGGCTGTTTGGTTGGATTGCATGAGGGTATAAGGGTATAAAGTATTTCAAATATAAGACCTTTAAAATTTTTATAGTCTAGTTGGTTGAAAAAAGAATGTAAAGTAAGTAAATGCAATGTAAAATATTCTAATTCATTTTTGAGATAAACCAAACCGGCCCAATTTTGAGAAAGAAATGTTTACACAGCAAGCAAGCTCGCTTGACCGTCACCGGCCAATACCGTCGACCACCTCAACCTTCCTCAGACTACTACCGGCCATCACCCTTCACCAAACACCATTGCCACTGCCGATAACCTCCACCCGCCTCCGCCCACCACCGTCGGCCACTTTCACCCTCCCCACTGTCGCCAGCCACCAACCCCCACCACTGTCGCTAACCACCAACCACCACCACCATCGGCCACCACCATCATCGGCCAACCTAGGTTTTTGTAGCATTATTTTTGTAACGGTAGAAAAAGGAACCACCGGCTCATAGGTTTTTTATTTTACTTTTTACTTGTAGCTCTTTCGAGCAGTAGGGAGCTGGAGGTTCTTTTTTAGGACCTTGTAACCGCTTTTTGAATATTAACACGTAGGCCCCATGAGTGGGTTTTAACTATAAAAAAAAAAAATACCAAAAATATCACGACCTTTCGCAAACCCAATTTGACCCGGGGAGATGATTCTAGAAAGGATCACAGCCAATCTATATATATCTGTGTTACAATACCTATGAAGAACAAGCTAAAGGTATGCAGCTAAATAATATTTAAACCAATCAATTAATCTTCTTGATATATCGGGCGGGCCTCAAATCCTCCCTCCTTTCTCTTCTCAAGCAAAAATGGCATATGAGTTCCGAGTATTTTATCCCAAGTGATAAAGAAAGGCTGAGAGAAGTTGTACTTTATGCCATAGAGCTGATGGTGAATATCATGATACGCACTGTTGTTGTCGAAGAAAACATGTAACAAGTTTGCAGGAAGCCACATACTACTATGATCATCGACACTTTTGATTGCACTGAAAGATAAGAAGTACGTAGTGGTACGAGGTGTCATTCCTGAAACAAAGTAGGAGAGAACTCCCCCAATGATATCGAGGATGAGCCCTTCGAAAAGATGGTTGTACATAGCTCCATAGGGGTAGGGGACGACGAGGTCGTGGTGCTTGGAGTGTATGTGTTTGTACAGGAACTTGTTCATGTGGAGGAGTCGGTGCATGAAGTATTGCCAGGTATCCATCACCACCATGGCCACGATGAACTGGAGGAAGATCATGTGAAGTGCAGGCTGCGGCAGGATAACGCGGTTGTCATCCTTCATGAGCTGCATTAGTAGAAAGCTGCTTTAAGAAGCAGAAAAAAAAATCGTCCCAAACGAAGTCTAAGCATAAGGAAGAAAATATATGAATATATAAGAAGTTTAGGTTTTTATAAGGTTACCGTCAAGATGAGAAGAGAGACGAGTATTTGGAAAGCTTGCTGCAGGAGGACGCCTTTCACAACGGTTTTCTTTGAAACAATGTTCTTCTTATCCTCTTCAACCTTATTGTGAAGCCTGTACTGTTTCAAATCACCGAGCAAAACATAGATGCCTGAGTACATCCAATAAACAGCAATAGGCACAAAGGTACAGAGTAAGTCATCCAACGCAAGAGAGGCCATCATGAGCTTTAAATTGCTTTGTTTTATCCAACTTGATGGATTCTCCTCCCAGTTTCAATCTTTAGAATTAAGGAAATAGATGGAGAGGCAAAGAGTACGTTATTGTGCACTTTTTTTCTCTTCTCTTTGGTACTACTTACTCTTCCGATTAACTTGCTGCTAGTTTTTATTGATCGACTGGGATATATTCCTGGTGATGAGGAGAGATTATTCTGTGCGGACAACAGCCGGGAGAACCATTCGGTCCGCGCTTGGTACCGGACACGGTACACTTTTGGGGGTGATGTGGCACATTTTTGTTGGTCTCTGGATAACGTCCGGACTCCGCACAGGAGGGATCTTTTACTCTTTATTACATGGTTCTTTTAACTAATATGTCTTCATTCCTCTATTTTTTTATTACGAGGATCTTTATGTAGTTGTCACTCCTAAAAGTTCTAAAACTATAATTTTTAGGCAATTTCTCCCTAAACCTAAAATTAAGATTGATTCCACCCTGTTCATGCTTTATTATGAATTTTTAATGCTTGTGAGACCATAATTCTTTTTTCCGGCAACATAGAATTTATCATTTAAAACCTTTTCAAAATATTTGACAAATGGGGAAAAATTGTAAGATAAGAACTATTCTAGTCTTCGACAGATAATTGAATTAATATTATAACTTATCTTACAATAACTAAAAAAGAAAAAAAAAATCAAATATTTATAATTTATCTCATCCAAAGCATAATTATTCTCATTGGCATAAAAATTGCCGGCATTCACTATATGTTGATTTTTTATTAAAAATTAACATCAACATATAGTGTACTATAATTTTTTTTGTTTTATTACATGCATTCACTATAAAATTGTTTTTTTTTTTTTTAATCTTTATATAGTTATGGTTTCAAGCTTAACTTAGTTAAAAGCCCTACTCCAACTCATAGCCTAAGCTGATTATACTATATATATGGCCTTATTGGATTTAGAAAAGCTGATCACAAGGGAAAACCATTGAGATTTTAAACCAATTGATTTAGATGACTAGATAGGCCTCTACTACGGGGTTTTGATCAATAAATCTTTATGTGTAAACTCTAGTTGATCATTAGACCAAATAAGGACCCCCTTGAACTCGATCTGGTTAGGTCTAATAAGACCCAATTAAATCTATTAAACTCAAACGTTATAATTGGGCATATATTAACCTAGGCCAACTCTTCCAATATGTGCCAACATATTAGAAAACACATAATTGAACTAAATAGATCTATGGCATAAGCTTGATTAAACCATTGATTCAATTTAATTCAAATAGGCTTATTTGACTTTATTGGATATTATATATATGAATGTAGAAGTATGTAAGTCAGTAAAATCCTATTAGTTAATTGCTAGAAAATTTTTATATTTATATAGATTTTTTTTTTGTAATTTTTTTATTATTTTATAGATTTTATGCATAATTTTTTTTATTTTAGGGTGTCATGAAAAAATGGATATATATATATATATATATATATATATATATAGACTCCATCGTAAGCAGAACGC